AGATCTTGTTTTGAAAAGTGTTCAAATCTATGATCATTAAATGTTATAAAAACAACTTACTGAATCAAGAGAAAGACACTTGACACTTTATACGATGATTATATTAAATTATTGAATCATCATAAATTCAATAAATCTAAATAATAAATGTAATTCTATTTTATACACGCACATAATAACATATTTTGCTAATAATTAAACTTGATGCTAAATGAATAAGATGTATTATATTGTCAGAATTGTTCTTATATGACATTGTACGAATAAATTTCTATTTTATTAATTATATAATTCCAAAGACATTTATGTTCATAAAACCATTAATGAACACTATATTCGGATGTTTCTTCATATTGTTTTCGATTTAAAATAATTCCATTAGTTTGAGGATTTAATATAGGAATAGAACTGTCTGAATAAATAATACTTATCAATATTATATACATTAAGATTAAATTAATACTACAGATAATCCAACAGTAAGAATTGTTACAATTGTTTATATAAGATAATATTGATTTATGATTTACAGATGAAAAACAATACAAAAATAGATTATATTGAATCAAACTAAATCAAATAGAATAATAAAAAAAGTTTCAAAAATCATTATATGATTTAGTTGACTTTAATATCATTGCATAAAATTATGTTTCAAAAAATGGTTAAAGTAAACATTAATTCTTTTTTTTTTTCTATTACGCATTCACAATGAAGGAAGAAAATATTCTTCTGTTTTGACTATTAACTAACCATATTTTGTGCTTGTAAGCACATGCAGCAAAGAACGATTAAAAATAGACAAGGTGTCCTACTTAACAAAATGTACTTTACTTTCGTTTTTCTTTTTTGCTTCATTATGGGTTCAACAGAGTACGTTTTATTATTCCTTTCAAGTGTTGTCAGAAAAATATATATATAAATCGAATAGATTCAATTGAATATTTTTAATTACTTGGCATACATATTTCTACGAGATTTTGAGTATACATAAATAATCCGTAAATCATGTTTTTTTTTTTCTATCGGTTTTTCACACAATCCATTTAAAAAAGGAATTAACTTGATTGTATCATGAATAGCTTGCATATAGAAATAACTGGCACTGCTATTTTCATTAGTTGAAAGACGACAAATAACTTTATCAAATAATATAAAAACCAAACAACCAGGCTGTTGCCAATTCTCAGTGATCATCAAAATTTTTTCATTACATATTGACTTTCAAGATAGTCATTTGATAGAGAAAATCAAGGTCGATTTCTCCAGATGATTAGATTGGAATATTATCAGTATTTTTTTGAGACCCTGGAAATCGACCAATTGACCACTGGTCAGTCTAAAATGACTTGATAATGGGTGTTTCATAATAACTGATGATAAATTGTTAATAACATTTTTCATGGTTTTTTTTTTGTTGACGTAGAGAGCTGAAATTTTTATCACATATACATCGAATCAAGATCTTTTATTTCTGAAAGTTGCAGCTCTCTAGCTATAACTACCAGTGAAATACGTATATTGGCAAGACTAAAATCATAAATTTTCGTACTTGATTTTTGCCCCATTTTTCACAGGGAAAATTGATGTATTTCAATTTATCGATGTATTCCACCACTAGTTAAAGCTAGAGATCTGAAATGTTCAGAAATAAAAGATTGTGATTCGATTTATATTTAATAAAACTTTCAGCCCTCTACACCAAGAAAAAGTATTAAAAGTATCATTAACAATTTATCATTAGTTATTCTGGGACACTCTCTATATATACGCGTGTTTGACACAATAGGAAAAAAACAAATTTCAGTCAAGAAAAAGATCGCAAAATAATATTTATGCTTTAAAGAACCATGTCGAACTAGGTGACCTATTCCGGATAGAGAGGATGTGAATGTGAGTGTATCTTTCTTTCAAGCACACGCACACTCCAACTGTGAAATAATTTCTTTTGTAGTGTGACACGCTGTGACGTGGTGGGTAATGTCTAAGGAAGTTTGGTGTTCGATTACGACTTCTATGGTCGACACTATTGAAAACATGACGCCTCATTATCAGTGAAAAATGGTGCTAAATCATTGAAAAATAACATTTTTTTCTCTCTCAAAGACAAGATGATCGGAGATCTGAAGTATATGAAATTGTAGCCTGTGAAAAACTCTATAAAACTGCAAATAAGAAAATGTTTTTACAAATACTTAGGGCATACCAAAAGTCTTTACGGAGCTCTATCAATCTCTTGTAGAATGCTTGAAGGACTTTTCTTTTTATATAGACTGATAGTAAAAACGAAGCTCTACATTTCTACATTATTTGATCTTTATTCATCTAATATCATAATAATAAAATTTCCATCAGACTTGTTTAGCTGTGATATGTAACAATAACATTAGTCAATATTGGCTTCAATGTGGATGTGGGTGGGTGCGAGCGTGAGTAGTGGGTGTGGATGCAGGTATGAGTGTGAACTTTTCGTGTGAGTGTAACACATAGTCCCACCCACACCCACACTCATCCGCATCTATACCCACACTCACATTGAAGACAATATTGACTAATGTTATTGTTACATATCACAGCTAAACAAGTCTAATGGAAATTTGATTATTATGATATTAGATGAATAATTATCAGATAATGTAGAAATGCAGAGCTTTGTTTTCACTATCAACCTATATAAAAAGAAAATCTCTTCGAGCATTCTACAAGAAATTGATATAGCTCCGTCAAGACTTTTGGTACGCCCTAAGTAGCAGCAATGCAGGCAATACCAGTGGATAGAAAGTTGAATAGACTGATGCTGGTATGAAGAATACAACTAATCAAAGTACTAGTGGCCAACAAAGTTCAGCAGACGAAGGTAGTAGTAGTGGAGGCACTGGTATGTTTGCTTTTTCATTGAGTAGTACAATTTGTTTTTGAAAAACGAAAATAAAATCATTATATAGTTTTTTAAAATATTTTATCGTTTTTTTTGAAGGTATTGGAAGTGCTTTTGAGGTTAAATTTACATGTTAGTGAACTTTCTTGATAATTATGCTCTAAGAGAACGATGATATATTTTGATAACAGCTACGCTAGTATGAATAAATAAATGAAATTATTTCATATCACAAAAAAAAAAAACAGACAAATTAGTCAGATATTGAAACGAAATAGGAAATAAAAAGACTTTTACTGATTGACACGTTATAAAATTGATGACCTTCGAACAATACTAGTATAAATGATTGATGATGATATGCCATTAGTACCAATGTGTAGGCAATTGCAACATGTCATTAGTAAGAGTATAGTTAACTCGTTGAATAAAATGTATCAAATGAGATTCGATCTCTATTCTAACAGAGTAAAAGACAGAAATTTACTACCCAATTACACATACTTGTTGAATTCTTCCTTCCATTATCATATTAATTCGTATTAAAAAAAACGTATTTATTTTTATCAGAGCTTGTTCATGAAGTTATTTGAATACAAAAAAAAGCAATTCCTTTTTTTCTGGTTTTTCATATACATCCTAAATAAATACATAATACAATTTTACATTAAAATTTCATCTCTTCAGATAATGATTATGAATTCTTATTTATAGACAATGAAAATAATTAATTTTACTAAATAGTTAATTTTTTTAACAACGAATGTTTTAGTCGACATAAGAATGAAATTAATTTTCATTTAGAAAATAAGAATAAAAACAAGAATTATATAAGTTTAACACTATTAATAAATAAAATTTGAATAGCAAACGTTTGCAACATACTTTCTGTGGTAAGAAAGAATACATCATCCAAATTTTCCTCTTAGAAGATGCATCATTTGATTCTCTAGAAACTTCTGTATACTTGTTTTTTTTTAAACAATAGAATATCAATATTTTATAAGCTGTAATTCCCGACTCGGTTAATAGAATTTACTTTCTGAATATTTTTCATTATTCTTCCAATGTTCTTCTCAAGTTATGAACAACTTTGCAAGAAACTTTACTTTTATGATTTGAGTCTGCACAAAATGCTCTTTCAGTAGTGCTTGTACATATTTGATCATAATCTACATTTGTTTCACGACTACAACTTATCCGAGCTTCTATAATAAAATCGACTGTTTGTCAAGAAGTAAAATTCTTCTTTGAACTTGGTCGTTCTACCAAGTTATATCTGGTCGTCAAGTAAAGCAACAAAAGAATTTTTCATAAAACTCTGCAAATACGAACTCGATATAGCTATAAATGACGTCTCTAGGATGTCTGTCAAAACACTGAGTCAACTCTAAAGAAAATTTCTCTATTCTCAAAAAATAAAATGTTATCGAATATCAACAATATGCGTTTGAAATACATCATAAATATACACAATCGGCAGACAGTTATCAAACGTTATCTCGTATATAATTGTTTCTTGTTTTTCAAAAAAAATAAATATTCGTTTCTATAAAAAGAATACATCACTAAAAAGTCGTTGGAAAGTAAGTTTCAATTACTAAGTTATAGAATGCATCTTATAAATAATTGATGTACTATTGTTTTAAATAAAAGTTCATAGAAGTTTCTAGTGAATCAAATCCTTCATCTTTTGATAAGAAACTTTGGATGATGTATTATTTCTCAGCTAGACGATATAAACACTCAGGTTCGTAGTAACTAATATTAAAAGTATAATAACGTTTAGGTATGACTTTTAAAAAATTCTGAGAGAGTATTAGTACTTTTTCGTTCGTTTGACTACATTCGTCTTCACCTCAGTACAATAACTACAAGGACAGCAATCATCTTCATTGGTTCGAAGAAACAAAATAGTGCAATGTTTCTAATTTTACTTTGTATACTTGTGCTTATTCTTCTTAGTATACAGGTCACTATCTAATTTAAGTTAGTTTGTTATAAAAACGTATTTATGATACATTTTGTGAACAAGAAATCAATGCTGAACCATTCATAGCTTTAGTTGGTCAAATTTCTTAGTTCCAACGTTATCGAGAAGCTGATATGACGATGATTTATCATGAAGACCATAGTCCGAAAATATGGTGATATTTACTTATATAGTTTTGGTCTTGTTGTACGTTTAGTTATCAATCAATCTAATATGCTTGCAGATGTACTTGGTCGAAATAATGTACAAAATTCTACAAAACAATCAATTACCGGCGCTGTCTTTAAACTAGTCATTGATAATTATAATTTACTAGTTGCTAAAGGTTATAAACATGAACGAGATAGTCGAATACTTAATCCTGCATTCCATCATACTAATTTAAAATCAATGGTTTCAATCATTGTTAATCGAATAACAAAATGTATTGGTTCACTATAGACTAAATCGAAATCTAAGCAAAAACCAAAACAAGCGATAGATTTACAAATTCTATTCAATATATTCACATTGCCAGTTATTGTATCCGGTGCATTTGGATCAGATTTTGAAATAAATGCTAATACAAAAGATGTTATGTGTCGAGTATTTAATGAAGTCCTTGATACTATTCTTTATCGCTTACTACGCATGATTAATCAAATATCTTTTCTTTCGAAATGACGTTTTTGAAAAAAAAATGTTATTGATAATAGATATCAAATAATATCTGAATTTATTGATCAAATTATTATTGATCGACAACAAGGATGTTCTACTAGCATGTCTAATAGCTCTGACCTTCTCGCTTTTCTTCTATCAGCTGTTGATGATGAAGGACAACCATTCACTAATCAAGAAATCAAAGAACAAGCGCTTTCGTTTGTTGGTGGTGGTGGTGAAACAACTGGAAGTCTTATGGTATGGTTATTTCATATATGGATAACTCATAAACATGCTTTACAAGCATGTCGTGAAGAAATTAACAGAATTCTTTCCGATTGTTCTGTGCCATATTTTCTACGCCATTGCATACATGAACATACTATTGGTACAGAACATTAATTACGTATACCCGATGGAACAACTATTTTGATTAATGCTTACACGCTTCATCATTGAAATGATCTATGGCCTTGATCACTTGAACTTGATTATACTTGTGGGATAAGTGATCCAAAAACGAGTCTCACACGGAAGTTACCTTATCCATTTGCTTACCTACGTTTTGCTGCTGGATCACGTAACTGTATTGGATAAAATTTTGCATTATTCGAAGTAAAAATAGTGTTAGCTATGTTCATACAACGATGTAATGTTGAATTAGATCCTGGACAAAAAAATAGTTTCAGATGTACAAATTACAATGAGAGTAAAATTTGGTCTATTGACACAAATTAATCAGCGTTAGATATAAATTTATATTCTCTATAAGAAAAAAAAACAAAAGTGGATCAATAGGACTTATTTTTCTCAAAGAAATAAATTCCTGTCGAAGTTTCTTCTCACGTTTATTTGTTACTGCCAATTGTATAAATATATATATGGAAGACATTTGACTGTTATGAGATAATGTTTCTCAAAAAATATCAAGACATTTATATATATTTGACTCTAGTTCATGTACTTCAGATATGTCTATATTTTTATTAATCTAATTTTTTTTAAAAATGTTCATATCCATTTTATGTATGAATAATTTTATGTTTGATAGTTATAATAAATCATATTAATAATTATATACAAGTACGAGTAATTTGTTTTCTCGTATGTCTGATATTTCTGTATGATTTTACAAATTTTCTTTTATGATCATCAGTTCGAACAATATCTTTCAAATTTTGTAATGAAATAATAAGAATCATTTTCAATTGATATACTGAAAAGCAAAGTTAACAAACAAAAAAAGTTTATAAAATAATTTCAATTCATTTTAGTTACATTTTATGACGAATGTATTTTCTTTTTGAGTCATATTTTCAATTGATTAATCGTTTATGAAACCATATATAAGTAAAACTAGCTTGGCTTTATAATTACATAGAAAATATAAATTCTCTATGTTTCTATCCTAAGACAAAAATAAATAGTTGTTTTGGGAATAGATTTATCACGATCAGTATTTTCTCACGAAAAAAACAAAAGGCACGAAGACAAAGAGGTCATAACGAAGAACATTTCCAATCAAGTAATCTTTCTGTTACTGTTTTTGATCATATCTCATTAAATATATCTGGATGAAAAATGTCGATCTTGTTTTTTTTTCTAAACAAAAACAGAACAAATACTCTACACTATTTATTTACAATCCATATATAGATATACTTAGTTTCTTTGATAAATACCAGACTTCATCATTTTAATTATTATTTGTATCGAAACTGACAGATTTCTCTTTTCTTCGAAACATAATCATTTGGTATTACAAATCAATAATCAAAACAAGATATCACTTTTTCATTGTCAATTTATTTCACAGAGAAATAATATTACCGAGATAGACAAGTAAAAATCGATTAGAAATTTATGTATTTTTTTAAATTAAATCAATAGTTTCCCATAATTAATACAATAGTTTTTATAAATAATTTTCCGATTTATATGACATGAATTATTCTGTATTGATCAAAAACAATTTTCATATTATAATTAAACTAGCTTTTTCTATTAGCATATAAAACAGAATTTTATTGTGTAAATATTTCTCATTCATCATAATAAAATATAATCAATATCATGAAGATTGATCATTCTTGTTAAATTGTATAAATTATTTCATAACAAGCTAAAATATTTCAAATTATTTAATACTAACTGTGCATATAATTTGTTTTATGTCGTATATTATTAGCGTTTTGCAACGCCATGACAGACAAAACCGACAGACATATAAGAGAAAAAAAAAGAAGAAGAAGAAGACTCACCACGCACACACACACAAGCATACATACAAAGAAGAAGAAAAATAATGTGAACAAAAGAAAGTGATGCAAATCAGCCACATGTTCATCCATCCGATTTATCGATGTGACAAGAAGAGTGAGTGCTCATTCAAACAAAATACATCAGAAAAAAAAAGAGAGAGAAAAAAAAAAGTAATAAAAGAAATAAGACCCAAAAAATTTAACGACGCATCATCATTATTTCGAGGTCATCATTGTTACGAATTCTAAAATATCATATGAATACTATTAATAAACATTATTTGAAATATTTATTATCATACCTTCATAATTGACTTGTCCGTCTAAATTTTACAAAAAAAAGAAAAACAGAAAATTCGAGAATATTCAAAATATAACAAAGAAAGAAATTTTAAATCATACCTCCATCAATATCTGCTTCTCGAATCATTTCATCAACTTCTTCATCCGTGAGTTTCTCACCCAAATTTGTCATAACATGACTAATTATTATTAAAAAAATCAATAATCTTAAAATTTATATTATTTTTTTTTTGTCTTACCGAAGTTCAGCAGCTGATATAAATCCATTTCCATCTTTATCAAATACACGGAATGCTTCACGAATTTCTTCTTCTGAATCCGTATCCTTCATTTTACGTGCCATCATTGTTAAAAATTCAGGAAAATCAATGGTACCATTACCTCAAAAAACAAATAAAACAATAATTGATTAAACCTACATTTCGAATGTTTACCATCGGCATCAACTTCATTGATCATATCTTGTAATTCAGCTTCAGTTGGATTTTGACCGAGACTACGCATAACTGTACCTAATTCTTTTGTCGTAATTGTTCCATCCCCATCTTTGTCAAACAGAGAAAAAGCTTCTTTAAATTCGGCTATCTGCTCTTCTGTTAATTGGTCAGCCTAACAAGCAAAAAAAAAACAAAATACGTAAATAATACTTCGACTATTTTTACATAGATTTGTTTTTATTCTAGTATTCAAATAAATACAATTCATAATTTTCATTCAAGCAGAATAATTATAAAAAAATGTCTCAAGTGACCACTTTTTTTGACTACGCCATAGATTTTTCTGGATTTTTATGTCACAAATTAGACATATAATGTTTATTGTTTTATAAATTGTCATTCGGAAAATCATTAAATTCGATAATATTCCCTAAAGATTACCATATTAATGTCAACATTATTGAAAAAATATCTCAATCAATTACTTTATTGGCTTTTCTTTTTTTTAATTCGGCTAATTTCAATTGTAAAAAAGGACAATAATCTTTAACATCATGTTGTCAACATCGTCTTACTTGCTGACAATATGATGAGTGCTCTTGTCATAAATAAGAAAAGAAAAGAAAGAATAGATTGTCTGCTTAAAAATAGTATTGATGATAACATCTATCTTGAAGTAGTAGATGATGATGACAGTAAAAGAACTTCTGAGTATCAATATATATTTCTCATGTTTCATCTTTATGATAGATTATTTAATACAAACTCAAAAAAAAAAAACTTTCATCAAAAGATCAAAAAATATTTAAAATAAATGCAAACATTTGTGATTATTAAGCTTGTATGAACAAGACATATCGTTATGTTCTCTATATTATTTTCGTTCGTTCGATGTTATTGATAATGCTAAACTTGTAATGGCGACAACAAGAGTCGGATGTACTATGTCGTGTGTTGTTTTTAGGCTTCTCTCTCTTTCTTTATACACATCCCCGTATAATCAATTAAGATGCGCGAACGCAAACGGCGCCTCATCTTCTCTCCATAAAAAAAGAAGAATAAGAAGAAAAAAAGGAGAGTAGGTTCGACCTCTTCTCTCTGTATGTCACAATCAGTTGGCGCCCAAGAAATCGCCTTGACACATGCGAACACGCGATAATTTGCTCATAATACCAAAAAAAAAAGAGAGAGAGAAAAAAAATAACGAGCGGTTTTCATGTATTAGTTTCATGACTAAAATAACGATTAATATCATTCAATTTAGCTATAGCACGAAATTGATTGGTTCTTTTCTCTTTCTAAAAACAAAATAATCGTCAATTTCAAAGCTACAATATTGTTTTAAAAAATCAATACTTCGAGTTCTTAAATTATAATACACACACACACATACATAAGCACACAGAAATGGTTTATTATTTGGACAGATTTTGTCATCATGCATTCATAGTATTAGTATTTATTTATCTAAAGAAAGTATCAAATGTCTTTTGATGACATAATGATATTTTCTTTTTTTGACAGGTAGATAAATAAAGAAGTATTTTATGCAAAACTCAACTTGATGTATGTGCTGATAAGCTTTAAATATATATATATATATATTTCTTATTCTGAAACTAACTAAATAAAATATTTTTATGAATACATTCTTAAAAAGATTTCTTTTATCTGAGAATAATTGAACTTAAACTCAATAGTATATTAACATTAAAACTATTATCAACTTGAAGTATAAAACAAAAATACTAGTTGCTTATTATTTACTTTTTTTTTATAGAAAAAAAAAAGCACTTCCGGTTTTTTATTTCTAACAATACTCACCATTATAATAAAAATGGAATTGAATATGTTCTAAATTTCCACTTGTATGAATCTGTTATTGTCGACCTGTAGTCCAGGTTCGAAAAAGACGATTGCTCGTTGGTCTTGTTTCTCTTGATCAACACCGGGATTCGTGCGTGCGCGTGTATTGTATGTCTTTGCGCGATGCTGTTCAGTTGTAGATAGAGAAGAAGAATGCGCAAACGACAGAGAGACGAGCAAAAGAGAGAAGAGAAGTTCGACTAGGCACGGATGCGATATACGACAACACAAGGCAATAGTAGTAGTAGCAACGGCTTATCTTTCTCTTTGACACAGCGGCAGGAAGAGTATTTTTTGTGATGATGACGACGACAGCGCGACAACGACGATTCTGGTTTGCTTGTGATATAGAACAGAGAAAAAACAAGAGAAAGATTTGTTTTAATGTAGGACAAAAAACAAAGCACGTTGTAATATCGAACTAGTAGAAAAAAGAAAATTGATTTTTCTTCTTTTTTTTTTCCCCTCTCAACTTGTAGAAGAAGAGGTATGTTCATTATTCTTTTCTTTCTCGCATTCTTCTTCCGACGACAAG